ATACCTGAGGAAAATAGGAAACAGAGAAACTACTGGATTCCAAAAGACTCTGGTCAAGGTTGCTTGTTCTCCCTATGCGTGCCTGGGTTCTCACTATTCAAAAGCATGCATGTTGTGGTAGTTGTTCACTCTAAAATGCCCTCAGCTCTAAGTCTTTTAAAAAATATTTGTGAGTGTTTTGTGTACATAACAGTTCATGGTTGTGGTGGACTGGTGACTTGTGTACTCCGCCTATTGGACATTGACTGCAGCGACCCTGCATGCACTAAGCCAGCATTGGAAATGGATAGATGGATGCCTATTTATTGCCTATTTATTGTTGTGGGATTGTTTTTCCCCACACAGAATAAATGTACTCAAATTAAAGGACAGATTTTTCTAATTTTTTTTTTAGTTTAGGTCCCAACAGTGCACTAAAATGTTAATTTATTTTCTTTTTTAATAGAGCAGATGTTATATTTCCTCCAAACAAATGCATAATTGTATAAAGTTTGAAAATTAAATATATTTTGCTGATTTTGAAAGGTATTGTTTTTAATATAACTATTTTTCTGTACTTTGTCCCAGGGATTTCTCAGTGCCACTGACAGCTCTGGGCCCTGGTTATTGTCCCAAAGCAGTCCCGGCTGGGTAATGCTAGGCAGACGAAGAGTTAGTAAGTTTCTGCCTGGACCCAGGTTGACTCAGCCTGGTCTGGGTACTAATCCCGTAGCTCTCAGAAGACCCCGCTCTGAACTCATCTTGCAGCACAGGAAAATGCTCTAATTGGGGGATTTTCTACATCATTAACCCTGATGAGCACCCTCCCCTCTTCTCTCTTCCTCTTTTCTGTGTGTGTTTTTCTTACAGTCCCACACTTAATCTCCATCTTCAGGTTTTCTCTTTTTCCTTTCTCTCACTCTGAATCCCTTACATTTTTTGGTTTACTTTTATTGTCTCCCATGGAGAGACTATATATATATAAGTTATTATTTCATAATAACTTGTGAAATAAAAGAGGGGTGATGAGATTATCCCATCTGAGCAGAGGCTTTCTGCAGCTCCTCCAAACATCCAATCAACCTCTTCGCTGCTTATCTTATTTGATTGATGCACACTTTAGCACAGCTTAGGTGGCTGGCCATGTCTTGGTAGGTTTGAAGCTGAGTCATATTTTTTCCGTTTCCACATAATGTTTTGAACAATGCTCTGTGAGACGTTCAGAGATTGAGATATTATTCTGCAGACTAACTCTATTTTAAATCTCTCCACTAGTTGATCCCTGACCAAGCTGCTCTGTTGACTCTGCTTACTGATTAACTTCTGGAGGCATTTGGTTGCACTGAATTTTAATTATGAATATTTGGACATCGATACAAGTGTATATTTCCTTTTTATTTACTTAGAAAACTACTAAAACCATTTATTTTGAATATGCGATTGGTTGCTACTTAGTGTTCATTGGTGAAAATGAACACAAATTAGTATTTGTGTCATAGGGTTGAAACCTCTCTAAAATGTATAGAAGTTTTTGCAAAAGGGTTTAAAGGAATACTTTTGTAAGGAACTTTGAGTCGTTTTAGTTTTACCTTCACTATCCAATAAATTATATCTGAATGATTCCTGCAGACATCATCAAAACAAGATGTATTGTTTTGATGTTTTCATTTAATTTATTTTCTCCAATAATGAGCTAATTAAACTGTTATGAATCTATCTGAACCAAATATGACTTTGAAATCAAAACAGCATCTCTCTTTGTTTCTGACTTTAATATAATTAAATGTTAGAAAATGATCCATTAGCTTCAGAGTAAATAGGGACCAGGCTGATGTCTTTGTTAGGAACTAGAAGACTATAATATATCAGCCATGTGGAACTAAGAGCTGGAGTTTTTCAGAGCTGTTTTTAATACTTTTTTATGAAAAACGCCGCTTCTTCAAAACGGCAAGGTCTGCATGACCTCTTTGGCAGTCACAGGTTAACAGCACACGATCATTGCAATAGGCTCCATCTATGGTAATCACTTTACAACATGTCAAAAACCATGCAGACATTTCACCTGCTGGTTCATCCATATGTTGCTCAAAGTTAGGGTCGGTTCAGAAACTCCATCTGTTTTGGAAAGTGACTCACACTTTGCAGAACGCCGACGAGCGCGGCGCCACCGGTCCCCTCTGTGAACATGTGCAGCAGCGGCTTGGCCTGCTGGCAGACCTGCCTGCCTGGGGGCAATTAAAGAGCCCGGGCCCTGTGGTCAGTGGCCCCCCCCCCTGGGGTGCCCTGATTGATTGGAGTCTCATCTTCCTAACAGGCTGGCCCCCTGCCACAAAACCTCGGAACAGCACTGAGCAAAGGGAGGGGCGAGGGAATAAAAGGGCCTTTACATGACAGAAAGAGACGAGAAACGAGCGTTTAGCTGAAAAGAAAGAATGTATGTCAGATGATAACGATTATACTGTAGTAATCTTGGATTGCTCTTAAGTCCCAGCAAGGTGTGTGGGAAGGAGTAGTGAGAGGTCAGCATGAAAGCTCTTCAGTAAGAAAGTGCAGATAAGCATTTCTATCAAACTATATTTTTATTGTTCTTACAAGAATGTTAACAATGATGATCCAGACATAATTAACAGGAATTAAAACAGTATAACTATAACTATGACAATACCATTCACATCTTCACATAGAATGCACCCCAAAAAAAAAACTAAACTAAAAACAACTCTAGTGCAATTGTTTAGCACTATCTACACTTTGGTTTGTTCTTGGTCCAAAAATCACGTTTTTGTTGCATCCTAAGGAAACATTTTGATGTGCAAAGGTTCTGTAAAAACATCACTAACCAAATAACACCAAAAACAAAATTACATGAGAACTAAAAGCGAGCAGCGGATCCAAAACTATTTTCCCTGTTTGAGCAGTATGAGAAGTAAGTCGAACCAAAAATACCACAGGATTTAAGTTTTTTGCTGTTTGCAATTAAATTAAAATAAAACATTACAAGACAGAATGCAATAATGGAACAATGAAGGGGGATATGAGATTGCACTGCAAAAATGCCACATGAAATTTTTCCATTATCAAGTTGTTGTTCTACCTGTACATGTTCAAGTTTTGGGATGCAGAAACATCTCTTAATCAAAGCTGACTTTTCCTATTTCATATTGATTTTTACAACTGACCTTCTCTACCATGAAGATAATTAGAGCTCATTGCTGCAACAGATGGTAAAAGACTGATTCTGTGTCCCTAATGACTGCAGCTTACAATCTATGTTCCTTGTCGTTTGATCAACAGGGGAAAAAAAAGAAACTTCCATAACAAAATGGGCCTATTTAGTCCAGCCTGAGACCGTTTCTCCCCCTTCAGTTTCGGACAAAGAGGATACACTTGGATCAATTGTGCCAAACAAAGACCAAACTATGTGGGGTGACGCATCACACAGGACTCTTTCTGCTGCGCTGCACGTACACTCAGCCAACCAGCACTGAGTTGCCAACAGGTTTTCTCCTCTAACTGCCACTCAAGCAAGAAAAACAATAACAAAAGAAAGAGTAATTTTGCTGGTTCTTGTATCTGGTTCAACCCTCTATTTTGTATTTAAAGCAGAATGTCAGAAAGTAATCAGGATGAGTTTCGGTACAACATTAACTCTGGGTCAAGAAGGTAGCAGGACTTCTTTCTTCAGGACCGAATTAGTCTTATCTCCAGTTTTCAGCCTCACATTGAAGAAAATCTCCAGGTTGACAGAGCTATAAATGTCCTATGTTGACCTCTTTGTCCAATGACTGAAGTATCTGAACTTTGATTTCTATCCAGAAACACCAACCAAATGCTAAGCCTTACAAAATTATTCATGCCAGATTTGCCAGCGGAATCACAAATTCCAGTGTTTTTTACTGGGATTTTATGTGAAAGAAAACACAAAGCAGAGTGTAATTATGAAGTGGAAGGAAAATGATAAGACTTTTTTAAAATGTATACAATGAAACAAAAGAAATGTTCCATGCATTTTTTTCTCCTAAACTTCAAATACCTTGGGACTCACAGATATAATCCAGTACAAATACAAAAATAGGTTTTCTCATTGTTTGCAATTCAATCTTGATATAAACACAATTCTACTGTTTTCAAACTGTGACAGGTTTGAAAACAAAAGAACATCCCAGGCAGAAAGTTGGGGTTCACGGTAACTCTGAAGGATCTGCATTGTTAGAGAATCTGTGACAACTTTCAGTTGTTCAATCCAAAAGTCTGTTCTTTCTGGAAGAGTTGCAAGATGAAATCCATTGTTGAGAGAAAGTAGTTAGACGTTTGTCTACAGTTTGGCGCCAGTGGTGTGATGAGCAGAGCAAACATGTATAGGATGTTCTGTTCAGACCAAAAATGAAATCTTTGGCTTAGGTGCAAAATATTATGTGCGCTAAAAGCGAACATTGGACATGACCCTGAACACACCGTTGCATGGCGAAACATGATGTCATCATAATACTGTGGGGCTGATGAGAGTTGGTAGGAAAATGGAGCTAAATAGTCGAATCCATAACAGAAACTTGTTAGGGCTGCAAAAGATCAAGAGGGTGGAGGTTCATCTTCCAATAGAACAACTCTAAACATTTGGACCAGAGATACAGTGGAATGGTTCAGATAAAACACAATTCAGCACTATTCAAGTGTTAAAAAGGCCCAGTCAAAGCCCAAACCTAAATCCCATTCAAAATCTGTAGCAAGACTTGACAGCCTTTCTGATTGAGCTTGAGCTTTCATGTGAAAAAGAATGAGCAAAACATTCAGTCTGCAGATGTGCAAAACCAGTAAGTATTGACTTCAAAACACCTGGAGCTGCACTAGTTCTGACATAAGGAGGGTGAATTAATTATAAAACGTGCTAAAATAAAATCTGTTATCTATAGAGCAATTCAGGAATGGGATAAATTTCCTAAAAACATCAGATATTTGAATACCTTATTTAAAAAAAAAAAAAAAAAGAAATGAAATGTAATTTTTAAATCTAGGTGAATGTATGTAATTTGTAAAGGGAGATGTCTGACTAATTTCATGCGTATTATGTTAATGTTATAATTATCCTATATTTTGTATGCATTTTTCTTATTTTATCATTTGGACCCCAGAAAGATTAAGACAATTAGTAACCGGGAAGATTAGTTTTGGTGGAAACTAATAGGGAATGCAAATGCTTCTCCTTTTGTGTGCGTGTGTCAAAAATCTTTAAAAAAACAAAGCCCTTAGCATTGTTTTCCACTTCACCATGATTCTCTGCTTTGTATCGTCTCATCACATAAAATCCCAACATAAAATGCTGAAATTTATGGCTACAACATGGCAAAATATAAAAAAGTTCAAGAGTTGTGGAAACCTTTGTAAGACACCCAAGTATGTTCATAAAATGTGAGATTTAATTTGTCTGTGAGTTTTTAGAAAACATGTTTAATTAAAAAATGTGAACTACAGTAGTTTCTTGGGTGCAAGCGATGAAAACCATAGTTGGTTTTTCTGCATTTGTTGCACCCAAGGCACCAAACATCGACAGGTAGAAGAGATAACCCATAATGTAACCTCACCATGGTTTCACTTTTAAGTCTTGGAGATGAGAAAAAAAGTTAAAAAGAAAAGAAAGTACCAAAAATGTTCTTCAGTTTTCACAGCTCAGTCTCACTTCAATTTTGTGGCAGAGCAGGCTTGACAGGAGTTTTCATTGCCTGCTCTGTGTCAGGATTGTCCCTCACATGGACTGTCAGCTAGTCACATGGGTGGCCAGGTCTTGTCCATGGACTGGATGTGTTCCTTGGCTTTCATTCTCAGAGCGGCGATGCTTGAGCTGCGCTGATCCACGTCTTCCAGGGGGAATTTATCGGAGTACACGGCTGGACACTGGTAAGGTGGGGGAGCCATGCTCTGCATCCCCTGCCCCGACGGAGGATGGGGGTGAGCGTGCGGGTGAGGCGCATGGGGGGCGCTGTTGAGGAATCCATGGCTGGGATAACTGGGCTGGAGGGCCTGAGCTGGACCCATGAAGCCTGGGATACACTGGACAGATGTGGCGCTGGACAGCGGAGACGTCAGCCAGGGATCCAACGGGAGGGAGTTGGTTATTTGACCCATGCTGGTGTGAACCGGAGGTGGGCGATTGAAGGACAGCATGGGGGAGTCATGAAGCTTCATGGTGCTGGCATCCATCTTTTCCTGCCGACGCCATTTAGCTCTGCGGTTCTGAAACCAGACCTACAAAAGACACAGTTGTTTACATTCAAAACAATACTACAGTTAATTATTGTTAAAATTACTCCGGTTCATTGGGAAGACATAATTTGCTTACCGTAACCATTTCCTTACACTTCAAGACCTCAGTTGTACTTTTCACATTTTGCTTCCACACATGTTAATATATCTTGTCAATTAATATAAATTAGTGCGTATTTCATCAGAGATCTTTTAATCCATTTGTGGATTATGTGAACTCCTCCAGTGAAAATGCTACTACAGTTTTATAAGTGAATAAAGACTCACAACAAACTTCATTTCTGTCATTTAGCTTTATTTAATAGCTCAGTTTCTACTTTACAAGTAGAAACTGGTCTTCAGTTCCCAACTTATTGTAGTTAACTGGGTTTTCTATGGAGCATTTGATGATGTGTAGGTTCTTTAAAGCATGACACTTCATTTAATACGCTATATGTGTTTTCCTTCATGTAATCATTTTGGGTTCATTAAAATAAAAATATGAATAGATTGCGTTTTACTATGCAAATACATAAACTAGGTTTTCAATAAAATCACATTGTTTGGCTCGATTACTGACAGCTGCAAAGCCTTGTATTTGAATTTACAACGCAAACCTATCTTTTTTTAAATTTATTTTTATGCAATTCACAAGTCTTGAATCATAAATTTGCATTTGCAATTTCTACTTCTGACTGATTATCGTAAATAATTATTCTGACTGTTTGTCCGTGGTGGTGGAATGAGATTATTTCTGTTTGGATTGCTCCATTTAACCTTACACCTCTTTGTTTTTATTTTAAACGTCTTAAATCAGTTAACATTAACGTTGGCATTATCAGTCAATGAAGTTAGCACAGTATCTCTCTGGATACTTGGAACTTCTTTGGGCTCTTTCTAATCTTTTTACACCAAGCTGTTCAAGTAGACACTGGCAAGCAACAGGCGAAAGGCCAAGAGCTTTGGCTTGATGCTCTAACACGTGAGTCAGGTTATTTCAGGTGATAAGGCAAGTGAGGAAATGTTTACACTAACGGCATCAACACTGTTTGGCTTTGTGCTGTAAATTTTAGCAGAAAGGGAAGAAAACTTTTCCAAAAACAAGTTGTAGATCTGTGAATAAGCAGTGATAGCGGTTGTTTGCTCATAAATCGCACCCTGGATAAGCACCTAATTTAGCCCCCTAAAAATCAACACTAATTTAGAGTTTAATGTGCAAGCAGTATGTGAAAGCTCAGATCTGTGTGTTTGTGGCCACTCTAGTGACATTTGCAGCCAGCCTCACCTGGACTCGTACTTCAGGGAGGTTCACCTTCATGGCCAGCTCCTCCCTGCTGTAGACGTCTGGGTAGTGGGACTTCTCGAAGGCGCGCTCCAGCTCGTGCAGCTGGTAGGTGGTGAAGGTGGTGCGGTTGCGTCTGTGCTTCTTCTTGGGTTGATCATCCTTGCATGACTCAGGTGACTTGCCTTCATCGCTCTCCACGTTTTTCCTGAGCTCGCCCAGCTCTTCGTCACTCTTGTTTGTGTACAAACCAGCATCTGCCCAAGTGAGAAGAAGAATTGAGACATTTTCTTGATTTTGTACGTTAAATTCTCTTTGTGGAAATCAGACGAAGACAGGAAGAGATACAAGCCTTGTTCTCACGTAGAAGTTGTAACATCCACTTTACAGCACAGCGGACATTTGCCTGACAAGTTCAACAATACTAGGTCAGTGAAGCAAGAAATGGCTTGAACATCAATGGACTTTAGCAGCATTCTTAATCGGATTTTTAAAAGTTGACCCCTGCCTTTACCTTCACTAGAGCTAAAATTAAATTGAAAGTTTTAGAGTTGCTTTACCTGCATTCCTGGTCCATCACACCTGAATCAGATGATTGGTTAAAGACTAGGCCTTTGAAGAACTTGCTGACATGACAACAAAATAATTGAGCCTTTTGATTCATGGAGCATCCAAAGCATGCAGGACCGGAGTTACAGACCTGTTCTTTACCTCTTTGTTTCATTCTTATGTAATTATTTATTACACCACAGTGGATTAAAAATAAACTAGGCATTATATTGAGAGGTGACATCAGGCACTACAAGGCTTTCCCTTTAATCCTTCCTCCAAGGTGCGGATCATTCTTAACTTTCCTCTCTAGTCTTCCTCCTCAGCTTCACCAGTGTACATCACCTTCAACAATAAACAACATGGGAAACAGTGAAGTCCACAGTGGGGGGCTGCTGGGCGAATTAGATGAACAAGTAAGTAATTCAATTAAAGAAAATACAGAGACCCTGATCCCCCAATCAGATCAGTTGCTCTTGTGAAGCAGCGACCAATGAGGAGCTGATGTTTGCGAGGACTGGACCCAGTTCAAGGGCTGTACAGCAGTCAGCTCAGGTTGGATAAGATGCCAATCACTGAAAGAAGGTTAATTTGACTTGCTTGCATAAGAAGTTTAGGTTTAGTGTTGCAGCTGAGAATAGTGGCATTTTGGTAGCATCTGCTCCAGCAGGTAAACAATTTACTCAATGAAGGAGACATTCAAAAGTAGCAAGCAACACGAGAAGCTGCCACTCATTAAAACATTTACTTTTCAGTCTAAAGTTCACATAGTCATCCATCTTTCAATATGTTTGTCCCTAGCGGGACTGCAAGGGCTGCTGATGCTTATCTTAAAAGGTCAACAAGCGAGCGGCGGGTCACCCTGGACAGGTCACCAGTTCATCGCAGGGCGACACGGAGACAAACAGGACAAACAACCATGCACACACACACACACACACACACACACACACACACACACACACACACACCACACACACACACCCACACACACACACACACACACACACACACACACACAAGGAGAATTAAGAGAAAGCAGTCAATATTTTTGGACTGCTGAATAAAGTCAGAGTACAAGGAGAGAACCCAGACATGCAAAAGGAGAGCATGCAAACTCCCTGTAGCAAAAAGGACCCAGGCTGGGATTCAAACCCAAAACCTTCTTGCTGCAGGGCAACAGTGCTACCAGCTGCGCCACTATGCAGTCGTAATATAATAAATATTACGTGATATAACATAAGCGATGGGTAGCCATTGGACATGTTTTATCTGCTTTTCATTATAGGAAAAATCATTTAAGTTGATAACTGTCTACCAGATCCTGAAGAATTTCTTTATATTCTTAAATACTTACAAATTTACTGAAATGATTCAGTAAAACAAAAAAACAAAAATATGTGGAAAAAAGATTTACCTTCAGAATTATTTCCTTCCCATTTTTTTGTAAACTGGAAAGGAGCCACAATTTCATGTGGCAATTTTGATTTTATGTTTATTTTCTCACATTTTCACGGACCAAGTGGTGTTATAAAAATGTTGTAGTTCTATGTAGAATGAAAGTTATTACAGTTAGGAAGTCAGCTTTGTAGCAAGATGCCATCTTGTGGCCTTCGCTTCAATAAAACAACAGACAGTTTCCGGATCCTGGTGCTGCGTTAGTTTATGTTAATGAGACGCATTGATGAGGATAAAAGACAGGTCGGCATGGTCTCTGCTCCGACAAACAGGAGCAGCAGCAGAAGCAAGGCAGGATTGGAGGGGTTAATTTATCCACCTCTCATTAAGGAGCCATGACAAAGGCTAGGCACTGACAAAGACAGAGGTCAGGTCTGGTTCAGTGACCAGCTCTTGGCCTGTCAGCCCATCACAGCTACTGGTCTGAAGCCTCCCCACTGGTTCTCAGCCAGGACAACATCTCCACACTGAGAGCCGGGGCCAAAGTGACACCAAACAGCAAAAAAAAAAAAAAAAAAATAATTCAGGGGGATCTGGACCAACTTCACAGAAAACACAGACATAAAGGGAGTGATGTCACTCCTGCTGATGCATGTCAGTTAGACAAAAATGAAGTAATTAATAATCTCTCTTATCAAAAGCGCGCTGTCTCATCGTCATGCAGATTTTTGTTTTGTTTTGTTTGCATGCTTGTCTCTGCCTCCAACCACCTGCCTGATCCTGCATGTAAAAAAAAAAGCTTCAGATTAAAACGAGGAAAATTTGATTCTGCGGCCGAACGATGACAATAACACCCGAATGAACCACTGTACAATCTAATCTGCGGAGAAGAGAAGATTAGGGGGGGAATTCCACAAGGAGATGGAGATGGGATTGGTCTTGGGGACATAAACCCGCTCTGCACCATCTTGTGTTGTGATTTATCTGCTGGCTCCAGTCAAAGCAACAGGATCTACAGAGTGACAGCATGTAAAGCTCTGATTCGGAATCAGCATGAGCTAAAATAGAATTTTTAATGTGATGCCCGGTAGATTAGTCTTTTGTCAGATTTCTTCAATGAATAAACATTATTGTACTGATTGCATTAGCTTCAGTCTTTGTACCTGGACTGAGTCCATTTCATTTTTCACAGTAATGTCCTCACATTTAGGTAAATCGGTGAAATTTTTGAAATGGTAACACAACCCAGTTCATTCATTCCAACCTTGAAACACTAAGCTTATGTTATAATGTTAAACTCTGCAGTCAAATAATTTGAAAGGTTGCTCTGTTTGGAAAGATCTTCCTATTGCTCCAGTGTTGAAAATCAATTCTTTTTCATTGATTGAATTTTGACTGAGTTTTGTTAATTGCTGAAAATCAATTATACAGTTTTTTTTTCAACAAAATCTTTCCCTAAAATCTAAAATAAAACCCTCAGACTAACCTTCACAACAAGCCAATAGGACAATCGATAGAAAAAAAATACCTAATGTGTGTTTGCAATAAATAAATAAATAAAAACATGATGATATACATAAACAAGCCTGGTCCCAAAGCAGTCAATTCACACTAGTTTAAATTTACAGAAAGCGTTCATCTGTTTTCACTCACCCTGGTACTGCTGCTGCTGTGAGCTGCAGTTTCTCAGGTGTCCGCTGTAGGACGGGTGGGACAAGGACTCCTGCTGCTTCACGTGATCTCCCAGCCCATCTATGCCCATCTTCTGGGGCCCCAGGGGTCCGGCAGGACTTAGCAAGGGGTCCTGGTCTTTATTGAAGCCCAGGATGACATCGATGCTGTGGACGCGGCCCCCGACTGCGGCGCCCCCGCCTTTCCCCATTTCGTGGAAGTTGCTGGGCGAGAGGCAGCTGTCGTCCGCCATGCTCATGGTGTCCAGTGATAAATGCATTAGAACGTCAGGGGGAGTCACCTGGACAGAGGGGAGAGGTGAGGGTGAGGAACCAGAGGAGGTCAGAGCCGACCCAACATGTTTATAAGGGCCTCTGGATGGATTTTGCTCCGTCCGGATTGGGCCTGCGCTCGCAGTAGACTGGGCCCAGTTGACTAAATACAACGCGTTGGGCAATGTCTTCTCACATGGATATTCTCAGTCAGAAACCCAGATGTGTTCAACCTTTTACTCAAAACATTTTGGGCCAGTTTTCTACCAATATGGGTCCCATATGCAAATGTCTCCTGATCAAACTTAATGGCTCGTTTTCAGCTACAATATATAAATCTGAATCTTGTCTTCAGAGGTTTATATTACTACTGAAACTGATTGATTATAACATTGTTATTTTCAATGTTATTGAATATAACATATTATATTTTCAATCTTTTTTTGAATGGTTTGAACTTGGAGTCTTGTATGAAGGCTAAAAAGTAACACAACTTTTTAGTTAAGTTAATCCGGTTAAGTTACTTATAACTTAACCGGTTTTAGTTTGTATATGGGCATACAACTATTTTTGTATGCCGAACAAAATAGTTAGTTAGGCATACATTTAAATCAATGTGTCACTTATAAATACAGTGTTCAGTAATTTAATTCTGTATTTTTATCTGATGGTCTGTTGCAGCTCTGATGAAGAGGATAATTAGTCATTTTTAGAAGTAGCCAGAGTTGCAGTTTTTATTGTTTTTTTATTGATGCAATGCGGTAAATGAAGCATCAAATGAGTTTATCAACTCCAGTAACTTCACGTAATTCAAAAATAAAATGAGGCCAAATTTTTATTTATGGGTTTTGTTTATTTAAATATGTTTTAAGTAATATAAAGCATATTTAAGTAATGTGTTACCTTAAATGCCTTTTTAAACATAAATAAACATATTCATGTATTGGCATGCATGCTTTAAATATATGCCAATACTTTAGTATGTTAAGATATTGGCACACTTACATATATCCAATTATGTTTTAATTATGATGTAATGAAGTCCTTTTTCAAAGACATTTTTTAAATAAAGTTATTACTAAATTATATCATCCTGACACTTGAATTAATTGACAGTCATGCTGTTGTGATCATGAGTATTAGTTGATAAAAAAAAAATCCTTGTCCCATCTAATCAAAGATCCAGATTTTTATATGTTTTCAAAGAGCTAAGTGAACATGTTCATTTCATATAGCATCAAGTCTTTAAATGGTAAAAGCAACTCCTCTTGTTTATTTGTTTATTCTTCTCTGCAGGATTACCATAGACAAGTAAAACTTAAGATGCAAAAATGCCAAAGAGTCACAAATGTCAGTAGTGAAAGCAAGAAAATCTATAAAAAAAAAAAATAATTAAATTAGTTGGCCAGTAGACTTAACCCAGATGTGTTTAGCATGTTTTTGAAACTTTTGAGCTGTAAAAAACCTCTAATGGTTACCTGTTGGAAGGAAAACCTGTGAACCGTTGATGCCGGGCTCCACCTGCTCCTCTCAGCCTCCAACTTTCTGCTTTTCCCAGATCAGTTGTTTTGCTCCTCCTGCGGTTTCTCTCAGTCCAGCCCGGTCTCTGCTGTGCATTCCTCAATATATTTCCCGCAGTGAGCCATAAATGGTCCCGACAGGAATTCTTCTGAAAAGGGCCAACCTATGGAGCCGCTCAATTTCGCAGCATCCACTCCGGCTCGGAAAGCAGAGTGTCAGAGGAGTGAGACCGGGAGGGAGAGGTGGACAGAGCTGAGGAGGCGTAGGAGGTGAAACCAAAGGATTAGGACAGCTTGTTTATTGCAGTCCTTTCTCTTTAAGAGTGATTGGCAGCCGTTTTCTGCTCAACTAACTGCTTTAAATGTCTTATAGAGTCAAATGAAAGACTTTTGCTGATGTCATTTTGGTTGTTTCAGAAGAAAATAATTATTAGGGTTTCACTAATCACAGTCAGCCTTTTCTGCTCCGAGATGAAAAAAGGAAAAGCAACAGGTCCACAGAAATAAATGTGTATTATTAGCGAAAGTTTAAAATCTTAACAAGGATTATGAAAGAGTAATGTTCATAACTGCAAGTGATTCCTCTTGTTTCACATCATATCTAATAAAAAGGTAAACAAAAATGCAACAAAAATTGTGCTTCTTGTTCAATTTAGCAAGATGTTAAAATTTAATCATAGAAATTAATTAGGAAGATTATGGATATGCTGTCTACAATTAATGAGAGCCCTGAAAAAGATGGGTGAAAATTCAACATTAAACCCATCTTTAATTTCAGCGCCATGCAGTCAAGCTGGACATGTTTGGAGAAAAAAAAAAGAAGTTAATTTTGTCATAAGTTGTAAAAATATTCCATGACAAGAAACATTTTTCTAGACAAACTAATTGTTGCCTCTTGAACAACATCTGTAAAATCATTGTTATTGAAGCATTTTTAAAAGTATGTTATGCTTTGTGAGTGTCATGAAGAATGTCTAACTAGTAGTCAATGACTTCCTGTGTTTCTGACACAGGAATCCATTAACTCCTCAAAATGGAAAAGACAAGAAAACATGCCATTAAATAAGTCATGTGTGTGTTGACCTTTGCCCTTATTTTCAGTCAGAGTAATGATAAAAAGAGATAAAAGCAACTTGAACTCTTGACAAATCGTGTTGGACAAAGACGTAAGTTTGTCCTGCCATCATTTAGCAGAACTGTAGGGGGAAAATCTCCTGAGTTTACTGTTGGACGACTGCAAGTATTATTTCATTTTATTCATTATTTGTGCTACTGCAAATTCAATTCCAACCCTTTCATGCATCATGAATTATGATCCTTTGTGTCAGCATTTTTTTACAAAGCATTTTTGGATTTTCTTAAGGCATAAAAAAGGTGGGGAAAACAATTTGTAAAAAAAAAAAATAATAATAATAGTAATAATAAAAATTTAAAAAATGAGAAATCTAGATTATTTTTCTAGTTAATCAGTTGCAATTTTCTCCAAAGGCAAAGTTGTTATTTAGAAAATAAATATGTAATGTTGGTCTTCAGGGGTTACTTAAAGTCCCAATATATATTTTTTTCTTCTACAGTAGAAGGATGGACTGTCGGTGTTGGTCGGGTTGCTTTCTCGTCTGTCTGCCATGTTAGATTTAGCAAAAGATTTCTTGCAATTGCAATGGATGGCCAGTAGTTGGTAGTGTATTGTATGATGCACTAGTGTACACTTCATTGGTGTGTTTGCATTTATTATCTTTTAAATCTACAAGAAACACAAGAAAAGGGCTTTTAGATAGCTGTCCACTGTAGCGACCTCTATGCATTAAAGGGTTAAAGCTTCTTACGCATTTCTATAAAGTGCAAATGATTTTTGTTTGTCAAATTTGTTAAATAAAGCAAGTGACAGCCAATATGTGCTTTTATTTATTTAGTTTTTGGAATAATATTACATGAGACAGTTTGACAGCCTGTAAAACTGTGAAACTTTTGAGATGCATCACATTTTATAATGTTAGTCGTTTGTCCATCCACAGAGTTTCACTACTTATGTTAAGCAATCAAACAGTCGTGTTTTTGCACTGTGTGGGGGGGAGCTGAACCAGTACATGCAAGGGAAGAACGTGCAAACTCTTTGTCAAAGAGGGAACCGAAACCCCCGATGCTCTAATCCGGCGTTCCACTGTGCAGTCCTGAAGCTTCATTGTTAATTATTTTATTGTGAATGTTTAATTCATGCAAACCAGTTGGTTCTGACAGAGGAGAGTTTCCTTTTTAACTTGTAGGGTGTCTGATTTGTAGCGTTCTTCATGGACTCTCTCTTCCACTGTAGATCACAGTGTGGATGTGAGGATCAGCTGTCATCTGAATAATGCTGACAACAAACTTCAGTCAAGATATTTACTAAAAAATAATTATATCCTTCCATATGTGGGTCAATGGAGATCCTGCAGGTGTAGCGCCTGGGGAATAAATTGATTGCTCAAGCAGGTTGTTATTGATTGAATGGAAAGGTATCGACTTCCAGATGGCAGGAGGTTAAACAGCTTATGGGCTGGAAGAGAGTGATCTCTCATGATAGCGTGCGACTCCTCGTTGCATTTCTCCTTTGAAAATAGCCTCCAATCCACAGGAATGGAGAAACACAAGTTGATGTAAAAATAGATTACACATTTACCGTGAAAAGGGAAGTTACTCAAAATGAACATGTTGCATGTCTGATTTTGCCTCCAGATCAGTTTGTCTCCTCATAAATTTATAGTCATTCTTCTCTGTCATTCATTTCCAGTTCTCTTCCAGCTCCATACCAGCAAATCAGCAGCCAAAGCTGAGGAGCAACTTCCTGTCCTAGAAGTGAACTGGAGACAAATCAGCCTTCGCTTCTGTGCTCATGAACATTCAAACATGTCCAGACACTCGCACAGCACATTTCTGCACATATGCAAGTGCAATACATTCAAACACAAGGTGCATGCAGAAACTAGAAGAGTTTTCTGTTCAACTTAACCATGACACTAAAAAGCAGCCAGACATGGCATTTTGATTTTGTGTTTGTTTAAGAAAAATACCAGCTGTTAAAATTTTAAACAAAATGTCCTGAGGTCCAGCACCCAACAATTTGTGCACATAATACAAACAAAATCGGCAAAACTATGAAGCACCAAAAAACTTTTTATTTGTGTCTATATATACACTCATCCACAGTTTACATCATGCATACAAATCAGCTGATCTGTGCATATAATTGCTGTCATTACTCCAAATAGGTGGGAACTTTTCCAGTGAATCAGAACAAAAATAGCTCCCAGTTGAGCGTTACCATAGTGTCACTCTGGATCCACACCTCTGACCTTTTCAAATGTTTGTCAGGCTGATGAGAAATCATTTTGGATAGACATCATACATGCAAAAAATGTTCACAAAGTTTGGTGAATTGCTTACTGTGAAGCTACTGTGAGGAATAAAAACACCCGTGGAGCTGGAAAGAAGGGAGAGTTTCAGATCTCCTTAGTCCTCTCTGCAGGATGCTTTGGCAGGTCAACTCTAAATTTGCCCCCCCCGGCACGGATAACACACCTAAAATCTCCACCCAAACAGAGGTGGAGCTTTGTGGTTAATTTTAGCCTGCAGATTTTGATAAAGAGGAAACCTGTGTGTTCATGAGAAGCTCACGCAAAGAAAAAAAAAAAAAAGGTGCAAAGAAACTACAGCAAGCAAGCTCCAAAATAACAAGTTTAATCATTGTTGAAGCCACTGAATTATTGAAATACATCATATTTATGCACAGATGCTGTCAATTTATAGCTTAAGGTTGATTTAAAATGTGTTTTTCATATATATTGTGAGGGGAAGTTGTTGCAACAAAAGAGCAAGGATTAAAACTGACATTACTCTGTTTATTATATGCTTGACATTTCTCTTTGAAATTTGACAAGTGAATATAAGAATACATGCGCATAAAGACATTTCCCAGTTAAATCCCTCATTTATTGAAAAATTCCTCTCATTTTTCAATAAGCCTGTGGAGCCCCATGATGCTCAGCGCTCATATTTTTCTTGAAAACATTTTTGTCCTTACAAGGTTTCCCAGTTATCTTAATTGAGCATAGATTGGTTAAGAAGGAGCAGTGTAGTTGTCAAGCTGCTTAGTTTTATCAGATGACAAAGTTAAGTCCTGCTGATCCTATTAGAGGTAAAAGCAGCTAACGTGTAAATGCGCAGTGTCAGCTTAGTGGGGAGGGAGCAGAGTTAGGGAGGGTAAGTTCATGTGACCATAAGATGACTGTCATTGACTTACACACACGCACACACACACACGCATAACTCTGTATTGATTGGCTCTTAGATTCGGTTTTCCACAAACCGTTTAGGAGGATTTACGTGGTGATATTATGCTCGGAAGTCAGCCTTGGTCAAACTCGTTCCTGCATAGCTATCAAATAAACTGATATTAGTATCAACACGTTTATATCTAAACATTAAGAAATAACTTTTCCTATATTTTCCTGTATCTTCTTCAGTTGCATCGTCTGCTGTGTCTGAAATGCTGGAACCTCTCAGAAAGATGCAAGGATCACTCAGGAGGCTTTGCTCTGTTTCGCCTCATTTCTGATCAAACTGCTTCACATTTTGATTTTCATTCCTGAGATTCTCCTTCCCCAAAGGGAAAAAGCACAAGAACAGAATGAGAGGGACTCAAAAATGTCCTTGTTGCAAGCAAATATATATTTATAAAGTCCAGTTTATTAAGAAATACTTGTTTTTATTTAGAATGATCTCTTAATTGCTTTTAGTCAGAGATTTAAACCACATCAAAGAAGTATATATATTTATATATATATATATATATATATGTGGATTTCACTACTGTCTGATAAGTGCGGCTCTCCTACACATGTCTGATTTACTTTATGAAAAACATGTTTGTCTCACACAGTTTAGAGAAATTTAATCTGTAATTCAGGTTGTAAAAAATGAAAAAATTATGACCACAGAAAACTGGTTTGTTTAGTTCCTCTTGGCTTCATTTATCACATTTATTATTTTAATATGATTACTGGATTGCAACCCCTCTCACATGTTTTCTTCTTCTTCTCTTGTGTTTTCTGTTCCGGCCGAGAACCAGCTCACTGACACGCTGATATGTTCAAAAGCAGCTGGCTTCTTCAAATCATAATTAAAACCATACAATTATTGCCAAATTCCATTCGAGGCTAAAAGTTGATCGGTTTGTTTGTGGCGTTGGATTACTGCAATTTACTGCTCCTTTAGTCAAAAGCCAAAAGTTTAATGTCGTCCTTTGTATGTTTTCAAGTCTTCTCAATGTGTTTCTTTTGCCTTTTTAAGACCTTTCATTGAAACGTATTTGCATTCTCAGAGAAAATCAAGTGGCGAAAAATCTTTCCATAAAAATTTTGTTTGCGACTTAAACTTGCTTCTCTCAGTGTGGAAATACTCAATTATCTGTAACCATGGAGCGTTTAAACAGCCCTGGAATCGAAGCACAACCACGACAGCCTCCATTATTTTGATAATTAAGACAATCAGCACCTTTGTCAAACAGGCGCCTCCACTGTCAGATAGGACCCGAGAAGCAGACAGCAGCTCGTAAGCTAATTTTGATAATTGAATTACACCTACCTATCAGCAGGTAAACCTTCACACTGACCTGCAGGAGGATGTGTAGTCTCATTTGTTGTGCAAACTGATACAATCGTTGTCACGCAGAAAAGGGCCGGCTCCCTTTTCTATCACTAAAAGTTCATTTCTTTCAGAGCAAAGCCTGTCATGTTCGACCCGGATCATTTTTACTTCTTGTCTGGCCAAAGATGAATCGGTAACGTTTGATTTCTTTTACTTTTCATCTTTTAAAGTACTTTTTATCCTTCCATTACTTCCAGTCTTCTAAAATGGGGTCTGTTCTTCACGCGCAAAGCATTTTCCGATTTCTCTAAAACCCCTGATGGTATTCATTAAAGTTGTCCTGCTTTAACCAACCGAATGAGACATCAATGAGAGCAAATGGACGAAACACAACACCATGTTTAAAGACTGCATAACATCTAGTGCTTTTTGTTTTTCCATCTTGAAAATATTTAAAATGCACATCACAGCTTTGCACTCTATTTGTGTTATTTCAAGCGCAGATATTCTGCTGTAGATCTGCTTTGGCAAAGAAACTCTGCCATCCTTCCAAAGTCATAGCATAAAGCTGTAAGTCTAACTTTGAACTCTGCTGGATTTGACGTACCTCCATCTTGTAGGTTTTTATCATGTGCTACACAAAGCTCTTTGTTCATGTGGTTACGTTGTAGTCCCACCACGTCACTGTGATAGTGATGCAAGTCTGTGTAAAATTGAACCCAGTACCTTTTGTGGGGAAGCAAAGGCAACATCAACTCAGTGATGCTAACGAAGCTAAAACAGGAAATATGAAATTTGACCTATTGTCAGACAGGAAGGAGAAAAAAAGGTCTTATCTATTTAAACAGTGTGTATAAATTTCTATTTTGTATAGCAGAAAATAGCCAATAAATTCACTTTTATACACTTAGCTGGAAAAAATAGTAATACCCCCCCATTAAGGAAGTAAAAAGATAAACTATTAAAGTGAAAATGATGTTGACTTCCGACAACTACTGTGTGTGTTCTTATTTTTTTTTAAATGCAGAAATTATTTCAGTCACTGAGAATTAACAGTCATCACGTTTATTATTATTATTATTATTATTATTTTTGAATATCTACAAATGTGAATAAAACAAACAGAAATGTAAATTGCTTTTAAGATACTCCCAGTGGGGCTTTAGGTTTGCAAGCCCATTAAGAAATGGATGGGTATTATAACAAATATTTTCTAATCCATGCGACACTCAAGTACACAGAAACATCTGGTTGTGCACTGTTGGGACTTTTGCTTTTAACGGGCTAAATCCTTCTGTAAAGAAAAAAGCCTCACCATCCTGACCTGGAAGATGTCGCCTTCTTGGAAGAGCTTCTTGGTTCTGATGCTTAAATTGGCTCAGACAACCAGTTTCTGACCCGATCTGAACCCGCCAAAATCTACTTAAACCATACCAAGATAAACCCTTTAGGTTAGGCCAAACCATTCATTTACACACTGCTGCACACGCAGCCAGGTACAGCAGCAGTAGAGCTCGGCTTGGACTTCACACACAGAGTTGCGTGAGATAATTTGAGACATTTTGCTTCAGAAACAGAGTTTGCACGTTTGTTGTTTTGACTCTGCATCACCGATTGAATTCAACTCCGTTTAGATTTCAGCGCACATGTTTTGTTTCAGAACCAACTTGGAGCCACGACACAGAGAGAAGTTCAGAAACACCAAGATCCTGCGTGTTTTTGCAGACGAAGCCAGAAATCACACAGTGACAGCTTGTTTATCCGGGTCTCCCATCCACTCTCTAGGATCAGGTGAAAGCAACAGGTGATCGGTCATTGTCTGCTCAGGCTTGCTGCTGCTGCTGCTTCAGCAGATTAGCTGTTTTCTAAGTCTTTGTAGAAAGCGCAACTTAAGGACTTAGAAGCTCCGAGAAAAGCATCTCAGCACACTCCTCAACATATGGGTGAAGGCTTTGTGTCCCATTATCCATCTACACCAGGACACAGCCCGGAGCGAGGAAACGTCTGGCGATATTTCGGCACCAGAAGCTTGCACCATCATTTTTTATTTTTTTTTTCCATCTTTATTATTATTTGTTTGATTTCTTATAAATCCCTGAGCAGAAAATTGCTGCTCATCCCATTAGAGGCTTTATAAAAAACACAGAGCAGATTGAAGAAATCGTGGACCCCCACTCTCACCATATGATAACAAGAGTTAGAGGATCAAGCTGCAATTTGTGCTCCGTCCTCTGGGATGCTGATAAACACCAGGCTTACGCAGACTTATGTCAAATGACATCTTTAATTTGGTCTTGTGACATGACAACAATCCCACAAAGAAGGCTTTATTCTGTGGTGAGATTTAAAGTGGAAATATTTTAGCATTACTGGGGAAATTAACATCTTGCTCTATGTTTTTCTCAAATAATGACAAAAAAAAGAAGCAAACACGACATGTGTGGCCTGCGATACATGAAACGTGCGAATCATTAAAAATGTTCCCCCCCCCCAAAAGATTAGTGAAGCAGAAAAGTATTGAGTATCTACAAAAGCCAAAGACGTCCCTGGAGGACGTGGATAACGCAAATCGCTGTTCTAATCTCAATATTCGAAGAGGGGACAGAAAGCAGAAATAAATGTTCATTTCCTTTTGATTTAAACTCATGAAAGAAATTACATTTGAACGAATTGAATCAAAGTGCCCCACGTATCAGTCATTCAGTTTAAAATAAATCCACATCACTTACACAGTCTGATAAATCTCTGAGTGAAATCAACATCTCAAAATAATCTTTGCTGACTACATTCCCTCTAATAATCATTCCATGCTCATATTGTTAACACTCTAAACCTTTGCTTTCCTTCCATGAAACCAATTAAACTCCTGATGTTGGTCTGCTGTCTGTGATTGTACGTCAGCTTAACCCATAGAAAGCCAGCCGAGTTTAAATGGCGGCTTTTTCAAAAACTACATCCGGTTCTCTTGTGCTTGTCCTGTAAATATGTGTTCTAGTTTGAGCGTATTGTTTTATTGGTCTCAGTCTGTCTCACCTGAAACCCAATTGTTTTTTCATCCTTATAATGAAGCCTTAAGTAAAAAGTGACTGTATTGGCTGCTGCAGCTCGTCCTGCATCACCTGTAAAGACAAGGACTTTCCAATCGACTTTATCATGAGCCTGTTGTGGTTCCCTTGATCATATTTTGGGGTTAGTGGAGACTTCTTTTAGCATCTTGCAGTCTGCTTTCCGTGTGAATTTGGACAGTCAGTCCTGCCCTAAATGTCCTCCACTGTAAACAATTTTCAAAACAGTAAAAGATCTCTTCAAGCCTCTTGTCAGACTCAAAAGCGGCTGCGATCTCATTTCTGACGATCTTTCTCTCTCATCACAGCGTTCCCTCTCATTTTGACAGTAAGGAGTACGACAAACTAAATGTTAAAAGGTTTTAAGAAGGTTAGACATCCCTCAAAAGTGAGTAATTATGCACTGATCATGTGGACCTAATGTGAAACATCCCAGAACTTTAGAAAGGCGACAACCACAATGCGAAATACAATACTGATCAAATGCTGTACTGTTCAAACGTAAGAAATGCATTGATTTTATTCAGTTTTAGATCGGTAGCTGCTTTATATTGATAAAAACGCTGATTCCTAAAAGATCAGAATCAGCATCAAAGCCAAAAAACATCTGGATTTGAGAACCTCAGTTGTTCAGCTTTAACATTTCATTTGGGTTCCCCTGCCAGCAAATAAGGTGAGCAACAGACAAGAGAGGAGGTGAACAAGAATCTGGCAAGGAGGAAATGAAATTGACTGGTTTTTAAAGTACTGGGAATTTGGACTGGGAGAGAACGGAGGAGCTGAAGGGAAACACTGAAACGAACATCTAAATGACACAAAACAACACAAAAAAAGAATCCAAAAAATAAAAAACATGAAGGTTTCCTAATGAACCCTGATCCTTTCTCCTTTCTTTTTATTCTTTTATTTATTAGCATTTTATTCCCTCCAGTGCTGCAATCATTTAAGTTCAGGCACAAAATAAGATTCAGATTTATCAACATTTGAACCGAACATATTACATTCTTTAATTCGTGGCAATAAAATCATAACAGTGCAAATAAATCGAGACAGCAACATGATTTGGTTGCATTTATACACAAACTATTTACATGTGGTCGCTAAACAGTAGCAAAAGCAAAATGCTTCAGATAAAACAGGACCACTGACACTGACTATGTGGATCTATGTTGCTTTGCCAAGAGGAATCTGAGCTGCACCAAAACTTTAAAGAAGAAGGTTGAATAACTTTGGACTGACTGCAGTTCTCCTTGAAGATAAGGTGTGTAGCTGTGGCTCTAAAAGACCGCCTGGGTTTCAGACCTGGAGATTACCTTTCATTTTAAATTACAAATGCAGAGAGTAATTCATACACCTCATCATCTATACCAGCTACCAGATCTCTGTCTTTTACCCGATCTTCTCAGACAGTGAGATTTGGCCCAATTTGCAGTGAATTAAAACCCTGCAGCGTCTTAATCAGCAACTGAACAAAGAATGAGTTCAGCTTGGACTGAAAACTAGGCACTTATTAGTGGATTATAAGGAGTAAAGTTACTTGGTGTAGTAATTATTATGAAGTGTTTGGACCACTTGCTTTGTGTTGTCTTGTGTTACATTTTTGTGCTGCTGCACTTTAATAAAATGTTATAATAAAATAATTGCAACTTTGGCAATATTTGCAAATATGGCTGTAAAATAAAAAGATTTTGTGCTCATCGATGAAGGTAATGAAATTATTTTATGAATTGTCTTTTGGTCTGTTTGGTTTTAGTGAGATATGAATAGTAAATTATCAGACATGTATTTCATTACTAAACTGGCTTTTCACTAATTCATAATCAATCATACTTGATTACATCAACCTCTCCATTAAAAAGTAAGTAAAATGTATTTTTTATCAGACTAAATAAATAAACAATATGAAGTATAAAACTGTCTTTTTTGTTAATTTTATGACCTACACTTTGGAAAAAGCTGCTGCTTAAAATCTGCTTTATAAATAAAGAAAAATCTATGAGTTTTTAGCTTCTTTTAGTGAGAATCTATATTAAAGCTTCTGAGACAACTCAGTTTGGACCAAACGGTGTCGACCTCAAACAAAGAGGCCACCGATAAATATTTCCTGCACACAACCATGAATTCATCAGAACCATCCTCCTCCTCGTCGCTTTGACATTTTACCAATCCATAAATTTAATTAGTTTAAGGGTCTTTATCCCAAGAGTCTTCACCAAATGAGAGCCGGTTCATCACAGCTGCAGACTTGAACTCAGCTCCTCAGTCCGGTCTTGGCTGCTTCTTGACACCCGGCTGCAGAGCTTGGACTCATTTTACTCAGTTCTTGCTCAAGTTTCTCTCTCAGTTTTGAGAAGCCTGGTCTTTTCCGCGGCTCCTGCTCCCAGCAGAGCTTCATTATGGCGTAAACACCAGGAGGACAGTCCTCTGGAGCCTCCATGCGATAACCTGCTTCCACTTTCTCCTTCACTTCCTTCAGAGACTGAAGCACAGAAACAAAGAGGATCGACTGAATCAGCAAGGATTTTTGCTTGTGCAGAGTAAAGCTGAGACAATACTTGCTGCCATAAATGATGCAGAATTTATGAATGCTAGTGACAACTTTTTTCTGTTTTTTAAGTTTAAAATAACAACTGTAATTTATAATTTATGATTATGTCATTAAGATCGAAAAAATGAGCTAAAAATACTTCAGGCAACTGAGTTTTCTTCAGCTGGAGACAATACGATTCTGTAACTCGGTTAGATTCTTCACTTAAAATATTCAGAAAGACATCATGACGCTTGTTCTGAACTACTTTATGTTTTTATGTAATTCATCCATAAAAATTCATTTTTTATGTAATTCACGTCGATAACCGATGGCTATTTGCTGAAATAGTTAAATGGCTCTTTTACATAAACACGATTACAAATAGTTGCAAATTAGTAGCCAACATTTATTGGCATGAAAACAAATGAGTGCCAGCAGCTAATGTGCTGAAGGACTCTGTGAAATCACAAGCATCGCTATGGAGAGGTGCCACCTACCATCTTAGGGTAGGGCTGGCGGCCGTAGGCGAAGATCTCCCACAGGAGAACGCCGTAGCTCCAAACGTCTGACTTTGAGGAGAACTTCTGCAGAAACAACAGACAAACATTGAGGATAGATTTAAAAGGATCAAACTATAAAATGAAGAAAAAAATAAGAAGTAGATTTTACACAAAATGTTGTTTCTCCTAATTATGACTTATGACCCAGTAAAAGTGCGTGGAGCTATTTATGATCTGCCCCTCTCCACTGGAATTCCCCGTTTTATAGTTGTGATATTTTAAGACTAATACATGTGAGCGTAAGGTCTGCAGTTATTGACTAATGACAATATATTATTCAGAGAACAACACACAGAGAATGTTTCAAATTACTGTCTTCTCTTTATGCGCTGACTGAGTAAACAGGCCTTCAATCAGCAAGATAAAGTGAGCTGAACAGTAAAACGAGGAGATTGTTCTTTTTGATAAGAGAGTTAACATACCTCTTTCTTCAGAGCTTCAGGCGCCGTCCATTTGACGGGCAGCTTGGCTTTGTCCGTCTCTTTGGAGTCCACCTTCGCCAGGCCGAAGTCGCTGACCTTCGCCACGCTGTCGTCAGAGATCAGGACGTTTCGCGCTGCCAGATCTCTGTGAACAAGTTTCTTTGACTCCAGGTACTCCATCCCTTCACACACATCACTGTCCACAGAACGTACAGAAGAAAAAAAACACAACGTGGAGGAAATCAGCATCTGCTTAAAAAGTCTCCCCTAAACAGAGGTGGCATAACGAGAGCGGAGACTCACAGGGAAAAGCGCAGCAGCTGAGGGGAGCCGACGACTGATCGTCCTCTGGTCCGGAGAAAATTCACAAGGTTTCCCTGCGACATGCAAACACATCATAAACCTAAAGTTTAAAGGTAAACAAACCTTCAATGTCAATAATTAAAGAGAAAAATAAGACATAGGACGAGTTTGAATTGGGCCTGCATTTTAGCGCCCTCAACTGGCAGGAAAAAAAACCTGCAATTTTTTCATGATCTATGATTAATGTCTTTATCATAGAAGGAAAAACTACTCTAGCAAATACAAAATGCACAAAATAATGACAAAAATGTATATTAATCATGAATAAGTTTATTGATAAATAACAGTTTCTTTATAATATATTTATTATATAAGTGCACTTACATAATAAAAATAACATGTCGCTTCTGTATTGTTATAACTACCTTTTATATGTGGTGATGCAGTCATGATAAGATGAAATTTAATATTTACCAGAATAATAATTTATCTCATGATTTATTATAATTAAGACTCATTCATGCCTCTGGCACGATTAGGTTTAAATCTCACACAAAGGCACCAGTCGCTCAAAAAAAAAGAATAATCTTAATCCACTGGGGGAATGAATAATTTCTGGGGTTTAACTGTGTTCATTAAGAGTACCTTGGTCATGAGCTCAGTGACGATGTGGAGCCCCTTGTGAAGGATGACGCCCAGCAGCCGCACCAGGTTCTTATGCTGCAGCTTCCTGAAACAAGGAAACCAAAGAGACGAGTGAAACCAAACTGCATGGATGCACAATTAAAGTCACACGTTTATATACGTCTGTCATCTGCATTAATCTCATGTTAATATAAACTTTTCTAAGGATAATGCAGCAAATGACTTCTATTATATATTTTTTTTAAAACAAGAAGGACTGGACATGAATGGATAAAACAGGCTGTTTATATATATATATATATATATATATATATATATATATATATATATATATATATATATATTATATATATATATATATATATATATATATATATATATATATATATATATATATATATATATATATATATATATATATATATATATTATATATATATATATATATATATATATATATATATATATATATATATATATATATATATATATATATATATATATATAATATATATATATATATATATATATATATATATATATATATATATTTTGCCAAATGTTTGTTGAGGTTTAGGAGCAAATTTCTCACTGACATTTAAACAATTCAACGTTCAGTTCCACAAACTGAACGTCGCCCCCAAAGCTTTGGTGTTTGTTTTCTACCAGTGGGGAAATAATTCAGCTAAATCATTAAAAGCCAGGAAATACCAAAAAATGTATGACCATCAGGAGTGTATGTAAAATTCTCCAGAACTTTGTGTGCTTTTTTTCACACTGAACAAAATCTATCACGCCATCAGGCACGACAGACAACACCTGATGGCGTTCAAAGGTATTTCCAAGGGTGAACGCTTGAGGACTTACGTCATTACAGCCGTTTCCTGCATGAACGCCTGAGCTGTGACGTCACATTTTATGGTCTTCACAGCCACCATCTGGCCCATGTACTCCCCCCGATAAACAGCTGAGGGTTGTAAATTACACACAGTTAATATCTATTAAGACATTTTGTTTTAATCTGACTTCCTCCAGTCTCTAAATGTTTTCGATTATATGTATATATAAATATATATATATTTTTCTTTTGTCCTAACTGACTTAAATAAATAAAAGTGAAAATGTTTTACACAGTGTGTGTAAATATTTGATTTGGGCTGTATGTATTTTAAAGTAAGGAAATGTTTAGATTCTTTTCAGAGGTGTGATAGAAAACTTTAAAGATACAAATCTATAAATAACATATTTACCAAGGACTTCATTGCAATGCGTGAGGCTTGTTGCATGTCAGGGGGTTTCAGTGACATTTCTCAACCAGAAATACCATAACAAGATTACATATTTCCTGTTGTCATTTCCTAACGCCTCCACCTGCAGTAAAGAAAACAAACTCACCACCAAATTCTCCTTCTCCAATGTTTTCTCCCAGACTGAGCTTCGTAATGTCCAACAGCCACCCAGCTATAAAAAAACAAACATTATAACGACTGCAAATATGTCAAAAAGCTTGAACATCTGCAGCATCTTGTTTTGAAGTGCACAGAGTTGTGTTTTTGCACCAAAACATGAAGACAGCTTGACTCTGAGCTTACTTTTAGACAGCTCCTGCTCAGCTGACTTGGCTCCTTGTTTCTTCCTGGGCGTCACCAGAGTCGTGACGAGGGAGCCTTTGTTCTTTGAGTAAAACTGCATCAAAGAAAACCAAATGAGTCGCAGACAGCGAATGTTTGCAGGCTGTTTCCGTGGAGCTGGTTTGTTTGAATTCACATGTACTACCACAAAAGCAAAATTCACCTGAATTGAACTCAAATAAGAAATGTCTGGCAATAGGTTGTGACACACTGGGTTAGTCCAGTAGCTGTATCTTTCCCCCCTCCGTTTCCTCAGCAGCAGTGAGTTACAGAGTGACTCAGGCATAAAGACACTTGCAGCCCACTGATAGTTGACTGCAGTGTGACTCTCCACAGCCACAGACACGATAAACCATAAAAGGGTAAAACGGAATGAAGATTTGTGCTATGACCCAATATTTGGTAAGTTAGTACATTTCAACCGTCATGAATTTATGCTCTGCATATCAATATGTTAGATCAGTTTAATGGACGATAATTTTAATAGTGCAGACATTTTAATGCAGAAAACAAAGATTTGGTGAAACATCTTATGGCTAAACTGGGATAAAATGTTTCTTCCCTAAAGATACCAATTGAATCCACCAAAGTATCAGTTTGTATGTGATGCATCTTCCACTGTCAGTTTTCATTTTTATTTAAAAAGAAAGACTGATTTCTAAACCACAGACCTGTTTTTGAAAAAGGCTCCAGAAAGGAGTTTGGTTTTATATGTTTTTTTTTGTTTTCCACAGTCAAAAGGTCAGAACCAGATTTAATCAAAGATCAGACATTACACACACAGAATGAGGAAGTGAAACCTTATAAAACTTGTTGACGTTCTGAATGCATGCTGACCATAATTAAAATTTCAAACTAATTTTAGGCAAAATATTATCTAGAAAAATACTTTAAACCCTTGATATAGTTTATAAAAGAGCCTCTTAGAGTTGCTGTCTCAACCTGATGAACAAAAGCATTTCACAAAATTACTGGGTTAGTCTTATTTTATTTATCAGATAATTATTTTAGACACACAGAGTTAATTGTTTCAAGAGAGTATTTGTGTTTACAGCTTGTGATAAAACTAAAATCAGTTCTTCAAAAAGTTCGAAAATACAAAAAAAACACAAAAATGTTATAATCTAGCTTTCACCAACCGTGGGGTGACTGCTGACTTCACAACGTCAAACACAAAGGTAAACCTCTAAAGGTCATAGCGAAAGAAACTGGGTGTCAACAAGGTCCTGTATGCAAGCATGTTGTTTAAAGTTGAGTGGAAGGAGAAGGTATGGCAGATGAGAGTATGCAGGCGACAGGTTTAACCAAAACCTGAAGAGGACTGTGAAGCAAATGCATTCAGGAGAAGATGATTCTCAAGCAGGAATTGATCAACCACGTACTTGTAAACCAGGCTGCAACTTTACGTATTCTTATGTAATTTCATTTTGCCGACTTTTAGCTTTTCAGAGGACACTTTGTGTCCTTCATCACATCTCAAATGAGATCCTGCAGCAAGATTTTTGAACCACCTTGTTACGCCAAAGACCGACCACACGCCTCTGACGCTTTAATTCAAGCTAAATGAGCTCCAGCCAAACATCCGCCAGATAAACACTTTTCATTAGAATAATATTTATGTACCAAAAATCCTTCAAACTGATCTTTTGTATTACATAGTTGTTAGTTCAACTGAGAATTTGAACTAACAGATCTGCAATACGGCCACTGAGTGTGATGAATGGACATGCTTCACTTTATTTACTGAAATAAATGAAACTTTGGCATTAAATTATCCTTAACTAGTGACATGAATCACTTTAATTTAATCTAAGAATTCATCTCAATAAATTATCATATTTGGATTATCTTAAAGTTAAATAATTACATTTGTGAAGAATCGTTTAAGAATAGATGGCTTATTTAACCTAAACTTCACGTCTCTCTGGAATTCCTCTAATATTTGAGCCTAATCAAATCTCTAAAGCCGATTGATCCGTACAGAGCTTCTCACTTACTTCGATCATATCGATGAGGTTGTAGAAGTACTGCTCGTTGTCGATGGTCAGCTTGTTGTCTTGGTAAATCACTCGGTAATGGAAGACGTCTTTAGAGAAGCTGACACACAGGACGTAGTCGCCGGGGTGGCGAATGCTCTCTCGCACCAGGAAGAGGCCGTCGTGAGGCGGCTGCAGCTTTCCCACCGCAGTCGGTCCAGAGATCTTCCCGTGAAACCAGCTGAGGACCGTAATCGATTATTCTAGTGATCAATTTTCTGATTAATTGGATTTTTAAAAATTGGCACATTTTGCAGTACTTTTTTACACATTATTTGAAATAAATAAGCAAACAATTCAATGATTTTTTTTTAATAAGAAAACAAAATTTTGTCAAAAATGCAATAACAATGAACCCTTCATCATTTCTGGCAAAGTTCAATCTGCATCTGAAAAAATACTTTCAGCTAATTGTTGATTATTTCTTTCATCTTATGTGCAAAATGTATATTTTTTTGGTTAAATTGCTTTTTCTGATTGTGCAAATGGCAATTTTTAGAGTCTGTATCCTTCATGTAGCAATAAATTTACTACTAAATTACTTATTTCAATAATCGATTGATCACGGTTAATTCAATTAATCATGTCAGTTGTCGTTAATTTGCATTGATATGTGTGGAAAAAACCCTACATTCACAAACCAACTATAAACAAGATGCACAGCACAAAGTGAGACGAGAGGGAATCAGAAACAGCCTTAATTCAGCAGAACAGCAAAAATAGATCTTTCACTTCCTTTGCATGTTTGTGCATTGTGCATACATCACATGTCAAATCTTAAAAAGCAGCGTCTCAAAACCTCTTGCATAAAAACAGTGATGAGAAAGTTGGAGTAATATTTCATCTCAGAACTAAAAACGTGAACTTCTACATTTTTACATGCAAGTAGGTGGCCTCATTCAGAGTAAATACGAGTTAAAAATTAGTTTGATGATGTTATCATTAAACCTTCGTCTCTCGAGGATGCGCAGATTAAAGTGGAGAAAGACGGATTCAGTACACCAACATATTTATCTGCCTTCTCGCCTCGGCTGCTGCACACATGGTGGGCATTGACTTGATTTTAAATACTTTAAAATGTACAAGATGTACAAGACTGGCCTGCAACGCATGAATTAATTATTACTGATGTAAAAGGGACTTTGTTGTTTCTGAAAGCATTTTAGATGGCAACGTTTCTTCTTCAGAGATGTAAAGTGGCACAAGCAGAGAGGCAATGTTTGAATCAGCCCCGGATTTTAGTTGACAAACAAAAAGAGCACAGATTTTTGGTGGATTCCTTAAATTCAGATTCTTCAGCCACAACCATCCCCGCTCCTTCTCTGTTGGAGACAATTAAAAGATAATCCACGGATCGCAAGAAAAATCCATCTTTAGCATCCACTGGTGGAAGCCATAGGCTGAGCTTTTTCTTAATGAAGGTTGAGCCACAACCAGAGAAAAAAGCAAGGTGGTTCATAAAACGACTAAAGTTCAAAAAGGTCACTTTCTTAAAAAGGAAACTTTGCTAAACTACTAACCAGGTAATTCAAAAACGCAGGCACCAAAACAAACCGCTTTGCTGCAGCTTTCACACAGAACAAACGCAACACAAAGGTCAATTTCCCAGTGAAAAACTAGACTAAAAGTAAAAACTGAGTTGGTCTGTGGTCCACCTTGCTGCAGATACTATTCTGATGGCTCACTTATAAACAAGAGTTTATATTAAACTCTTGTTTTAAGACCACCAACATTTATGTCCTAAAAAAACAGGAAGTTTAATCTTGTAGTTGGTGTTTGCCTGCAACACAAGGATCAGCCCACACAATGTGGTCAGCAGATAAGCTTCAAAGACGCGATGACAGAACCTGCTGAAGTCGCAGAGCACCAGGCTGTGACTTGAGACCTGAATGAATGATCAGTAAAATGATTTTGTGAGAACCAGAGATGGATGATGAGACTTACGGCATGAGGCTGAGGCCGGGGTCGACTCGTAGCGCCTCTCTCTCGCGCACGTTGCTGGAGTTTATGAGCCCCTCCTCTGCTGTGGTGTTGTGTCTGGCAGCGTAAAAACCTTTCCTCTGTACAACAAGCAAAGTTTTCTCGTTAAATAAAAAAGCGAGCATCTCCTTGGTTTTACAGACTCTGTGAACTTTGAAACAGAGATTTTTTTGGTGAGGTAGTACCGTGCTTCTATCAACTATAGTGAGAATGTCTCCTTTGTGGTAGAGCAGCTCTCCAGGCTTAGCTTTCCTGTTGTCACACTTGGCTACACACTGAGTACCAGGAGCCCAGTTCATCTGCCGGGGGAAAGGAGAGATAATAATAGAAACATCAGCCACATCTTTGCTCAGGCTTCTTGCATGCAGCCTACTGAGCAGAGCATAACAATTATCAAAACCCCAAATGATTATGCCAATGCTGTCTGAGCTTCTGGTAGCTTAATATGAAACAATGAAGTTACTTTGATAACTACGTGTGGATGTCCGTAAAGCCACTTCTCAAACACACCGCTTCCTTGTTTGACGTCATGGAACATTTTGGTTTTAAATCAGATGATACACCATTATTGTGGCTCCCCACATATGTGGCATCCAAGTTCAGATGCCTGGAAGTGGGACGTTCATCTGTTTAAGCAGTTCAGTTCAGTTTATTCATGTATCAAAGGGCATTAAAGAAACATAAAACTAAGAGACATGCAATTGAAGTAAAACAGCATCACGTATAACTCCATGCAGGGCAGGAAAAGTGCCAGCAGTGCACATCATCATCATCATCTTGTTCAACTCCTAAGATCTTGTTGCTTGCATTTATTACTCTGCTAAGTGCATTTTTGACCGAATGTCGAGAAACCAATAAAGAACTAAACACATATAAAAATAATGCCATCATTGAATTAGCAAATCTGAAACTTTGAAAGTTTTCTTAGCCCAGTCAATCACTGTCGGCCATTTATTTGCAAGTTCTCTGACAGAAATAGTTCAAGACGTTTGTGATTTTCTGTCTGGCCTTCAATTATTGTTGTTTTATTTGTGTCATTTGCTTCTGTCTAAAGTCAAAACACATATCTTTAGTTTCCTGTACACTAAAAATGAGAAAAGCGATATCACACCAGTCTACAAATTTTCATCGACCACAGGGCAACGTCCATAGTATAATTATTGTTATATTCATGTATAAATGCCATGGAAATGCCCAGCTGGGAAATAAACGTTTTGGTAGGAAAAGCGAACATTAACCCCAGAACAAAAGCAAAAACCCCTCGAGGAGAACCTGCTTGAAGCTGGTAAGACTGTCTTGTTATCCTTATGACCTCTGACATGGAGGAGAAAGTCCAACATGAGTGGAATGAGTGATACTTACACAGACTCAGGAAAGAAGAAGAACCAATAATAAAAAGATAAGATTACAGTTTGGACAAAAGGCATGCAGAGACAAAGACTTTGGTTTTTGAAGACATGTCCTATGATCAAAAAATTGTAAAATGCAAATGTTTGGACGTAATGAACAATGATTACATTTGGGAAAAAGGAGGAAGCTTCCAATGGAAACCCAATCGTAATGAAGTTGTATCATGTGGGGTTTTTTTATACAGCAGGAGGGACTGGTGAACTTCACAGGTTCCATCTTGAGAAAAATTAGTCTGCAACTACATACAACCATATTCTTGCATTTATGTCACTTCAGAATCAAAAATAAAAGTGATTATTTTACAGTTTAGTGGAAGTAAATGAATAGAAACTTTTTGTAAAAGACTGTCAATGTACAACATGTTGCTGATGTTACGACATCTTTCAATCTATCTGACCGTCTTCTGCGATAAACACAACCTCACAATTCTCATAAAAACAGTTTGACATTCTGTGAATTTAGCTTGATAAACTGGATTGGAGCCATGCTTGTATTATGAATTCACTCAGACTAAATCACATAGAGTTCATGCATTGAAAAATGAGTTTTTCAATGTTGAGATGGGAAAAACATCGAGAGTGAATTTTAAAGCTTATGTTTTTAGAAAACATGTTGACAAAACTGCAAATCGGTTCTATTTTACACAAGGAAACTGTGAAAAAAACAAATTTTGAAAAGTGATTATAGCATCATTAGACTATTATATGTACACACACACACGTCAGTGTGTGTATCAGTGTGTGTAGTGTGTATAGTGTTGTTGACGGCCTTCAGCCTCAAAACCAGAGCATGAACTGTGTTACATTGCCACCAACATAACAACTTGTGAATTTGGCAGTCAATAAAATGCTGAAGGTCGGTTTGATATTTAAACTATTTTTTTACTCGTAAACAGAAACCTTCTGGTAACTCGGTCAGTCGAGTTTGGTGATCACACACAAAATAATTTCAAATAGGTTGAGACCTTTTCACCAGATCCTTCTATCTGGCTTGTGGCAAAGACTATTAATTTGTTCCACTGACCTTGAATAATTTCCTTCTGTTAAATGATAACGTTTTAAAAGCAGAGTGCATTGAGCACTAATTGTTTCCGAACTTACTGAAGTTTATGAGAAGCTATTCAGCTTTGGATTCAGCCAAAACAAATAAAAGAATCAAGAACAAGTCATTTTCCTGAGTTAAGGTCATTGTTTATGATTTAATAACAAAAAAGAGACACTGGGAAGAAAGAAGATTTCATTGGAGAGCTTCAAGATGAAAAGAACCTTTTCATATTTGTTGAAAAACACCTTCATGATCGCCACGATTTGTTGGAAAATGACCTGTACACTGAAATGGCAGAAGTGGAGCTTCAACTCATCATAGTCCCACCTTTAGAATGGCTCAGAGTGAAGAAGGGTTTGGAGTGGCCTACTCAAAGTATGGACTTACAATCCAATTTAGATGAGCTAGTCTGATAAATTTATGCATTTATGCTTTAAAAAACAAGAGACACTGTTTACACAACAATTTGAGTTGCTTTGCCCCAGTAGGACTTGATGGCTTGTAAAGTCCCTGGTCACAAACGCATGAACTTTTCCAAGCCTTAAATGGGAAGTAATGAGATGACTGAAGAACTGAACCCACCTTGGATCAGGACGTTGGTGACTTTGTTCAGAAATTCTGCGGAAATCAGGAGCGACAAACTCCGAAGGTAATTCCGTAACGATGCAGCCGGATAGAGGCTGAGCATGGAACCGCTGGCGGCTCGCCCCGTCCGCTCGGTGCAAGTGTTTCAGTCGCTGCAGCTCTCTGGAAACACTGGCGGCCGGAGATTAGAGAAAACAAACAAAAACACGCCAGACTTTTAAATCCTCCGCAGGAAGATCCCGGTTCCCCTCCTAAACCCAGAGCGCTCCCACGGCGCCGACATCGCAGCTGGACGCGTCTGTGCAGCAGCCCGTCATCCTGGACGTCTTCTACTGCGGGACTTCCTCAACGCTGGGAAAGACGTGCCGCAAATTCGGAAAAGGCGGCGCAAGAAGTGACGCACTCTGCAACTTCTGCGCCTCTGCATTGAACGCAACAGTTTTCCTCCTTCATTTAATCTCCCCTGTCCAGAAATAAGGAAAACAGGAGACAGAAGGTCTGAAGAGTGTTTTTATTACCTCCTCTTAATTTTACGCATCACTACAAATACATTCAAATAATAGGACTGCGACGTTCACACTTTCCGTTTAAACGATACAAAAACAGACTGCGACGTCCTTTGTAAATAAAATAAGCAGGACTCATATATGAGGTTCATGTAAATAAACACCAAACTAAAACATGTCAAGTAACTTTCTCTCATATCGTTTTCATGTTGTGCAACCGTCCCTTCGTCTACTACCAACCGAGACAACACTGTCCACGCAAAACAACTTATGAATGTTCCCCTTAATCAGTCTTTTGTAACACACGCGACGCAGGCACAAGGAAGAAAGTCAAGGGACTGTAACCTTTTGATCCGTACAGCAGATTTTCAGTCTTATTTGTCTGACTAAAGATCCTCCCCTCCCCTAAACCTTCTTTGGAAGAAAAACAGGATTTCTAGGCATAATATCTAAAAAGATAGAACTATGGCTGCATACATTGTCATATCTTAAGTGCTTCGTTTCCTCTGAATAAAACTGTGCAAGGAAAGACCTCCGTTTGCAGAGACAAACATATTTTCAAGTGAGCCCCTAAAGACAAAACCTCAGAGGTTAGTTCCTGTCTATGTAGGTTTCATAAGTTAGATTAGCTTTGACTTGTTTTGTAGGTTTCATAAAGGGGGTTGAGCTCAACCCTGAAGTCTTGTCAGATGTTTCTAAAACCAGAGGAGCTTTAACTGGTGCAAAAGTAACCTGAATATTTATACACCTTTTATTCGCTGTTTTATATCTGTAGGCACCGTAAATCATCACAGTATTGTATGTGGCTCTTACTCCTCCAACATTGCAAAGCTTTCCTATATTTCATAATGAAGTATTTTAAAGCAGCAAAGTTAATTCAGAGACCAGAAGTGAGAGTGAGCTGGCCTGAAGAACAGCAGAGGTAAGCACTAGAAATAAAACTTGAGGTGAAGGTGTCTTAGTGTACTTGAGACTTTCAGGAGACAGGAAATAAAAGTGGTGATTGCTTAAGATAAAAAAAACAGAGGGTTCGGTTTGATAGTGTGACACGAAACCGAGTTGGAATGATGCATCTTTAACATGATGATTATTATTATTATTATTATTATTAAATAAACTGAAATAAACGCAGCTTCAAAACAAACTGCATTAAATCTGGTCTTCAACCATCAGCCCAAAACCTTCTCCAAATACATAATTCCTCTTGATTTAACGGTAGACATGTAACATGTAGAGTCATAGGTTATATTTATACGTGTACATCTGTAGGTTAAAGTTTTTTCTGAGATAAAAAAAAAAAAAGTGACATTCTACCAGTCTCTAAACTAGCAAACACCTCTGCTGTGGGGGCAGAGGTCAAGCTTCTTCCTTTTTGTCTTTTTTGCCCTCTCCCTCTCCGTCCCCCGTGTCGCTGACATCCCGTCGGCGTTTGCGGTTGCGTGCGTTGGCCTTAGACGCTGGAAGCGACTCCATGCCCAAAACCTTGTGGATCTGACGGAAAGCAAGAAGCCGCAAAGCATGCTGGGACCAAAACAAAAAACAAAAAGCACAAAAGGTCAGAATGTGGAGATTAATGGGCCGCATCAAACACTTTGTAGCATTCAGTTCAATTACAGTGACTTTCAAAACCATTCACACCCCATGGGGTTAAAAATAACCCGCATTAGAACCAAAAACTTCAATAGATGTTTGAGACTTTACAGGACATAACAAAATAGTGCATCTACATAGAGTGGAAGGAAAATGATGCATGGTATTCAACATGTATGCAGAAAAAAACCCTGAAATCTGTGATATGCATTTATGTTTAGCCCCCTCCATTTGATGCCTCTAAATAAAATCCAACCAACCATCTTTAGAAGTCCAAATTAGTACATTACATTAAGGAGTCCATCTGTGAAGATGAAGGAACACAGCAGACAGTTTAAAGTATCTTAAGAACATCCTAAACTGTAAACATCTCTCAGTGTTGTTCTGCAAATGAAACTAACATTCGTAAACATGGCTGTCAACCAGTAGAAGGAGCTTACAGCGGCACAACCTAAACATTGAAAGTTTTTAGATTGTTCTTCATTTAATGAATGTGTGTTTGCAGACATTGTGCCTTAATATGTTTAGATTTTTATGAATATGAACAATACTTAAGTATTTTAAAATCATTGGGGAACATCCCCCATTGGATGGGGGATGTACAAACCTACCTGCTGATTTGTAGGATAACTTATTTATTTATGTACAATAATTTAGATTATTAATATACATTTTCTTAAGTGGTTAGGGCACCAAAACTCTAGAGGAGCTGCAGAGATCCAGAGTTCAGGCTGGAGAATCTGTCGACAGAACAACTATTAGTGACGTACTCTAAAAATCACCGTTATGAGGTGGCTTTTCGTCAGCGAGGAGAAGAAAGCTGGTCAGAGTTGATGAAAAAAAAAAATCACTGTCAAATTTCCCAATGACTTAAGACCAGAGCGCATGACTTTCAGTAGATCAATAACTAAATAATGCTATGTATATTGTTGGTTTAGAATTAATCTCAATCCAGACCTAAATCCACTGAATAAATCTGTTAAAAACTGTTTTGTCAAAAAGGTAGAGACAAAATAAATAAATAAATCAACCTGCAGATGTGAAAAGCTGTTAGAGAAATAGCCAAAAACATTTGTATTGCAAAGAATTAACTCAAAAGGCTGAATACAAAATACACATCACACGCTTCACATTTTGTTCGTAAAAATAATCTATATATTGTTTCCTTCCATTTTACAATTATTAATTACTTAATTTGTGTCATCCTGTTGCACAAAATCCCATTGAACTGCACTGAAATTTGGCGTTTTTAAAATGGCAAACAGCATGAAAAATTGGCATGACATAAATGCTTCCGCAGGGTGCTGAAAAGCTGCAGGCAAGTACCTGTGTGCTGGCAGTTATATCCTCCCGGGCTTGAAGCTTCATGCTCTCCAACACATCTGTTGGCTCCTTTTCACAGGGATCCATTAGGCCTGGGCCATCTGAGAGAGATCGGTAACCAACAGAACCACTTTGCAGTCAAGCTCAGTTGTGTTTGCTGCATCACTGTGGAGCAGCAACAGTTCTAATAATAAAGTTATTTATTATGGTTGTGCTAATTTGTGACCTGGAAGCAGGATGCCAGTGGAGATGCACTCCAGGACCCGGCGCATGGCCTCCCCGGGGCTGAGCGGCCCTGAAGCGCTGCTGATCACCTTCTCCACCAGCAGCTCCATCGCCTGACAGGAGAAAGGTGAACAAACTCCAGTTTATGTTTGCACAGTCCTTCTAAAACCACCAAATCTGAACCTTTTCATGTTGGTTGAAATCTCCACAGCTATTATTCCTGCAATGATGATATTCATTTTATTTTATAGCTACCAGAGAACTGAACAGCACTTACCCAGCTGGGCAGCTTCCCCCAGGTAGGAACACGCTGACATAAATCTCTCAGCACCCGAATGACGATCACACAGGACTGCAATCCATTTGCACGAGCCTTTAGAGAAAAAAAAAAAAGAGAAAGCCTTGTCAAAAGGGAGCATTTATTTCTGAGAATATGAACTTCTGTTGCGTCAACACTACAATGTAAGCACACAGAATATTACATACATTTTATTTACTTTGAACAAATTGAATAAAAAAAAAGAATGCATATGCAAATGTACATACATGTAGACGTACACAAGAATACAATGTTTTCAACACAAGAATCAGCCATTTGCATACATAGCCTTGACAATAAGATATACAGCATTCGATCTTACATAGAAAACAAATTTATCCTGTATTTGAACCATCTAATATTATAACATATATTCTACTGTTTATATATATCCTTCATCTTTCATATAACAATTGCACTGTAACACGTATCTGTATCATGGAAACATTTCTTACAGTATATATAAGAATAAAAGAGCATATTTGTAACATTAACAAAAGGATTTTCCCTCTAGACTTTACCTGAAACCATTTGGCATGTCGGAGCGAAGCCAGGTTCTCCAAACATTTCTTCCTGTTTAAAACATCAGGAGGATCCTTCTCTGACATGACATCTGTTCAAAATAAAAAGCAGTTTTACTCGACATCTTGCAATCTTCACATGATGTTACTACATTTGGTCGAGAATAGGAATATCTCTCATAGTTCATGCAAGTATAATAATAATAAAAAACAAACATAAGATTCAGCAGTCAGACAATCTCTTTTAGTCAGCATTCAAGAGGATACAAAACAGGAATTAATAAAAGGAGAAACAAAACCAGTCTGGAAGACAGTTTCTGAATAAGACAAGTAGTAAGAAAAAAAATACAAATGAGTATTCAGGAATGAATACAGAAACAAGAAATCCCACATTTAGAGAAAAGAGGCCATGTTTGAGTCCAATCTCCACCTTTTATACAAGTACAGTTAGGGTTGGTCTGTCAAAAATAGACACAACTTATGAAACCAAATACATTTCCTTCAAAAGTTTGTTGATGTCCACCAGCTTGAAAACCAAAGCAAACCGTGTTATTAATTGTATTATTTGTGACATTCAATGGTGGTAAATAAAACTGTCTCTGACAAAAAAAAAAAAGAAGAAAAAAATGAGACATAAAAGACAGTTTCTATTTTCCTACATGAGCATTGATCAGCCATAAGTTTTAAAACAAATACAGTTACTCAGAGCAACCAGGATTATTTAAAAGTGAAGACAAACTTTTGCTAAAAAAGCTTTGGTCTTGACATTCATGTAGCACTTAGCCACTTTTCTCTCTACCACAACATAGTGTGAAACTGCATCAATTAAACTA